CGACTCGATCGTAGACACCGTCCAGCGGCGCGGCGGCATCCTCACCCACGCCGACCTCGAGGCCTACCGCACCGTCGTCGGGCCCGCCGTGCGCGGCGACTGGCTCGGCGGCCGGCGCGTCTTTACCACGCCGGCGCCTACGTCGGGCCCCATCCTCCTCTCGATGCTCAACGTCCTCTCCCTCTACCCCTCGTACGTCGCCGAGGGCGCGACGGGCCTCAACGTGCACCGCCTCATCGAGTCGCTCAAGTTTGGCTTTGCGCAGCGCACCGAGCTCGCCGACCCGGCCTTCATGGCGCCCGAGGGCCTGGCCCGCATCGACGAGATCCCCACGCCCGCCGAGGCGCGGCGGGTGCGCGCCAACATCACCGACGACGCGACGCACCCGCTGGCCTACTACGGTCCCAAGTTCGACATCGTCGACGACCACGGCACCATGCACCTCTCGGTCGTCGACGAGCACGGCGGCGCAGTGGCGCTGACGTCGACCGTCAACCTCATCTTTGGCTCGCGCGTCCTCGACGAGCGCACGGGCATCATCCTCAACGACGAGATGGACGACACCTCGACTCCCGGCGTGCCCAACGCCTTTGGGCTGGCGCCATCGCCTTACAACTACCCCGAGGCGGGCAAGAGGCCGCTCTCGTCGACGTGCCCCACGATCGTCGAGCACGACGACGGCAGCGTCGACCTCGTCATTGGCGGGTCGGGCGGCTCGCGCATCTTTGGCTCCGTCGCCCAGACGATGCTCCAGAGGGAGTGGGGCCGCGACCTCAGCGACGCCATCGAACAGCCGCGCGTCCACCACCAGCTCCTCCCCACCATGGTCACGGCCGAGAGCGGATACGCCGAAAAGACCCTCAACGCCCTCCGCGGCCGCGGGCACGAGGTGCTCGAGTTTGACATCAACCTCGCCGTCGCAGAGGTCCAGGCCGTCGAGGCCAGCGGCAGGGGCAGGACGAGGAGCGTCAGAGCCGCCAGCGATTCTCGGAAAGGCGGCATCGCCGTCGCCTACTAGAGGCGCGGGAGGCGCGAGAGAGGGTTCTTTTTCCACTGCTGCATCGTCATCGTCATCGTCGTCGTCGTCGTCGTCATTGTTGTTGTTGATGTTGTCGGCGGCAGCTCGAGCCCTCCACAAGACAGTTTGGAATTGCACATCTCTGCTCGATATCACATCATGCACCCGCCCCGTCCCGTTCAGCCCTGGAGCATCTTGCGGAAGTCGTCCTGGCCTTTGGGCTTGGCAGCGGCGGCGGGGCCAGACGAGAGTGAAGGTGTTCCATCGACGTCCATGTCGTCGGTCGCGGACACGGACATGGTTCCCTCTTGCGCCGGCGCCGACGTGGGCGCGCCGCCGTCTGTGCGGGCGGATGGGTGGGCGCCAAAGCCCAGGCCGCCCCTCGCGCCCCTACCGCGTCCCCTGCCCCTGCCCCTCGCCCTCGTCGAAGCACGAGGCACAAAGGCCTCCACGCGTTCCGCACCCTCCCCTCCTCCCCCCGCATCTCCAGCCGATGGCGGCACCGCTGCCTTTGTCGTCGAAGCGGCAGCGCCATCGGGGAGCACCCTCATCTGTACGCCTTCGCCGTAGGGGAACGAGGTGCGCAGCGCCGCCCGGCCCGCGACCGCGACATCGTGGAACTCGACGGTGGCCACGCCGCTCTCGTCGCCCTCGGTCCAGAAGACGCGCCGCACGCTGCCGCCGCCGCCGCCGCCCATGGCCTTTTCGACGCTCTGCTGAATCAGAGCCTCTTGCGCCGTCGACGGGATCCCGCCCAGCCGGACGCTCCGAAGTCGTCGTTGCTCCGCCTCCACCCCGCGTCGTGCGGCTCGGTTCGTCGGCGCGGCTGCTGCTGCTGCTCCTCCACCGGGTGCCGGCGTGCCCGTTTGGGACGATGCGGATGATGAGCCAGCGGCGGGGGCAGGGGCGGGCGGGTTCGAGTGGACGGTGCCGTGCATCCCGCGATTCTTGGCGAGCGTGACGGCAATGACCTTGCCGCGCAGCTTGCTCCCGTTGAGCTCCTTCATCGCCCTCGTCGCATCGAGGGGCGAGGCAAAGTCGAGGAACGCCACGCCTTTACCGCCGCCCTTGCCATCGACGGCCGAGGGCAGGCGAGCCGCCTCGACGCGTCCGAACGGCTCAAAGTGGGCGCGCACCTCGGACTCGGCCACGAAGCGCGGCAGGCCAGAGACGAAGAGCTCGCGCGCATTGGCGTCGGCGTCCGACCGCACCTTGCGCCGCGACGGGTCCGAGAGCGCCACGTTGAGCGTGCACTTTTCGTCGAGCCGGCGTCCGTCGAGCTCGAGCGCCGCCGCCGCACTGGTCGGCAGCGTAAACTGCACGTAGACGAAGCGCCGGGTCGAGACAAACTTGCGGCTCGGCCAGCGCACGTCAAAGATGGTGCCGTACGGCCCAAACGTGCGGCGCACCGCCTCGTCGTCCCACGACTCTGGGAAGTTTGTCACGAACAGCGTGCACTGCCACCCCAGGTGCACCGAGGCCACGGCGTCGTGCAGCCGCTTCATGTTGCGCGTCTGCGCCGACGCCGCACCCGCCCGGTCGCGGAACTCGACCAGCGCTGCGGCCGTCGCCTCGCCGCTCGACGCGTCGGTGAGCTGTCGCGGACCGGTGATCGACACGATCTCGCCGCAGTCGCGCAGGAACGCGCGGATCGCCCCCGGCGCCACGTCAGCGGGAAGTCCGGCCACCAGCACCGAGCTGTTTTCGCGATCCCTCGTCGGCTCGTCGTGAGTCTTGGCCTTTTTTTGCGACTCGTCGGCGGCGGCGGTTGCGGTTGCGGCGGGTGCGGCGGGCGTTGGGTCGGCATTCAGAGCCGCAGTGGTAGCAGGGTCTGTCGCGCCACCGTCGTTGTTGATCGGGTCGGCGTTGCTGTTCTTCGAGCCGGTCGCGCCGCCGACGGCGTCTTCGGCTTTGCGCTTGACTCCTGCGATGCTGTCGGTGCTGGCATCGACCAGGGCACCGACAGCCACGGCCTCGTCAGCGGCGTCTGCGGCGACTTGCTGATGCTGGTGCTGCTGCTGAGGCTGCTCGGGCCCCTGCTCGGTGGCGTACGAAGCGTACCACAGCTGCCAGATGCGCTCCCGCTCCGCCTTGGCCTTGCTGACGGCGTAGTCGACGTCCTCGATCCTGCCGCGCTGGTGCTCAAACTGGAGCCACTCGTCGAGCAGCTGCTCGTAGCCCGCCGTGTCCTGCCCCGCCCGCGAGCTGAGCGACCGCTCAAACTTGTTGACGCAGCCCTTGAACCACCCCCTCGCCTTGCGCGCGTCGTGGCGCCGGATCCAGTAGGCCGCCGCCTCGCGGTAGACGCGCACGTTTTCGCCCTGCGCCTTGACCGCATTCTGCCACACGGTCTCGGCCAGCTCGTTGAGCCCGGCACCCGCTTCCGAGTCCGGCCCTCCGAGCGCGGCGACGGCCCGCTCGACCCAGTCGACGGCGTAGCGCTCCAGCCGCAGCGCGCCGTCCTGCTCCGCGGATGCCAGCTTGCCCGTCTCGCTGAGGCCGTAGCTGATCAGCGCGTACACCTCCATGAACTTGTCCATCGACGAGGCCGGGTCGACGTCGGGGCCCGCCTCTGCCGACGTGGCCGCAAGCTCTCGAGCTGCCGCTTCCCGCTCGCAGTCGATCCGGGCGATCAGCAGATCGACGAGCCCAGCACCTTTCTCCGTAATGCCGGGATAGCTCATGATGCGAGCAAAGACATCCTCGATCAGGTTCTTTGGCCTCTTGAAGCGGGACAGCTGCCTCATGTAGGTGGTGAACACCGACGCCGAGCCGGGCAGCACGTGCGTCGACCGTTCGCACGTCTTGAGGACCAGGATGACGTCTGGCTTGGCCGAGAGGTGCTGCTCCTCGACCGATGGACGAAGCGAGAAAGTTGCAGGCCGCCTCATCAGCTACCGTCGCCCCTCAACGATGCGCACGTTCTGTCCTCCTGGCCTTACGATCGACTCACCAAGGTCGAAACATAGTCCTGCCAAAGGCCTTCGGCGATGGAGGTGCGTTCGTAGAAGCGCTGCTCCGCTTCCGCTCTCTGCTGCTCCTTGTCCGTCTTGCGCACCTTCTTCTGCCACTCCGTCTGCTTGGCAAGCCAAGCCGCCGTGGGCGGTTCCGTCTCCCACTGCTGCAGGTCCGACTCTGGACTTGGCGGATAGGTTCCGTACTGCGAAATCGCGCGCTCGTAGAGACCACTGGCGAGGCTCTGCTCGGTCTGGGCCAGCGCCTTGTCCTTGCCCCTCGCAGCTCTGGCGGCCGCCTTCTGCTGCCACAGCAGGTAGGGCTTCCAGTATGTGGCAAACGTCGCAGGGTCCGGGCGCGATACGCCGGCCGTCTTTTGGTAGGCCCGCAGCGCGGCCAGGCTGTCCTCGTACTGCTCTCGCTCGGCGAGGACCTTTTTGGATGAGGCGAAGACTTTGTTGGCGGCCAGAAGCTCGGTTTCGTAGCTCTCGGCGGGAAGGTGGTTGGTTACGAAGCGCGAGTAGCTCTGGAATGTATCGTCGATGCCTGGTGGTTGGCGATCGATTTGGAGCAGCGGGTCAGCTGTGGATCCAGCAGTGAGCGAGCGCGCGGCAACGGCTCATCGTGGGCACAGACTCACAGACATGGGGCACGCGCAGCCTGGCCAGGTAGGCTTGCTTGATGGTCTCGGTCTGAGCCGCTGCATCGCCGTGATTCGAGTCGAGGAGCGCCTGCTCGAATGCGAGGTATAGCTGCCAGACCAATTGGCTCTGTCGGGCGTGGAACAGAGCAGAAAAGGGACGTGCGGTATCAGCAGCCGGGTCTCCGGTGTTGGGTCCGTTACCCTAGGATCGAGTGCGGGTCACGTACCTCGTCGATGTGATAGGCGCACCGGGTGTAGGCCGCTCGTATCGCGCTCCGCACGGCTTCGACGCTGAGGATGGACTGAAGCGCAGCCTCGGAGCTTTCTGTCCGGAGCCTTGGCAGCGAGCTCGGGACGTAGGTGGACGTCGCTGCGTCGATGCTGGGACCGCCGGTGACGCCCGTCCAAGCCGCCAGTGGCTCGATGCTGTCCCGCCCCTTGTCCTCCGCGCCTCTCTCCGCATCGTCGTCATCTTCGTCTTCTCCGTCGCGCTTCGCTGATGTGGGTACGACGATCGAAGACGTCGCGCCAAAGTAGTGAAGCAGCAGGCTGATGTAGAGGCGTACGAGACCGGTGTCGATGAGCGTGTCGCAGCTCCTGGCGTGCTCCTCGAGGATCGACTCGAGGCCGGCTGGATCGAGGCCCGCCTCGGCGTGGGCGTGTAGCAGGGCGGCGAGGTAGGTCTTCCACTCTTGCGGCAGCAGGGCCAGGTCTGTAGCGGTGCGCTGGTAGGTGTCGACCAGCTGGGCGAGGAGCTGCGATGATTCGGCGGTGGAGTTCGTGCGCTTGAGCAGCGCCTGCTGCAGGGAGCGTAGCGTCTCGCGCCTGGCGGCAGGATCGAGGTCGGATTGCCGCTGTTGGGTCGAGTGGTCCACGACCATGTCGGCAGAGACTGCTGCCTGGGCGTGGACGTCGTCCATGGCGGTATCCGAGTCGGCGAGGTCCATGCTGTTCCAATTGCGCCACCGCTCGAGCACGTGAACCGAGCAGAGAGATGCTGGAGCGAAACCCGGACGAGCGAGATGGCCCAAAGAGGAGAAGGAAAAGGAGCAGGAAGACGTGCGCTTGCGATGCGAGGATAGATGGACGCGCGAAGATGGAGGGCGGAAGGCGAAGAGGAGCAAGGCGGAAAAAGCAGGTTGCAATGTGGAGCGGCGGCCCGGGCGCGCCAGCGTGCTCAGCCCGCCACCCAACACGCCCGATCTCGGCGCGACCACTCCGCCCGCCCTCGTCGCAGCATCACTCTTCTAGCTCACAGAGGCTTGACTCGACTCGACTCGACTCGACTCGCAAACGGTGACACGGGCAAGTCTCATTCGTCTAGCGGAAGACGTCCGTCTATACAAGCTGCTTGGCACGCTGACCTCGGGCGTGCTCAGAAGAACTGGCGCTTGTCCGAGTCCTCGGGCACCCACACCGCCACGCTGCGCGGGTGGCACTTGAACTCGGCCCAGCCGTCCTGGTTGATCTCGACCTGGCCCTGGTACCAGCCGATGACGTCGACAAACTTGCGCCCGGCGTGGCCCTTGCCCACCTCCATCCACTTGGTCCCCTCGCCGTCGCCGTTGCACATGACGACCGCGCACCCCTCCTTGCGCTCCGTCCCCTTCTTGCCGGCGCCCCTCTCCTCGTCGCTCGGCTCCATGGCCTCGACGCCCTCGCGGGTCCAGCCGATACAGTTGGCGTGGTCCATGTAGTCGCGCTGGACGCCGTAGGCAAAGTGCTTGCGCGCCTTGAGGAACTTTTCCAGATCGGCCATGGGCTGCGCGTAGCCCTCGTCGCCCTCCTTGCCCTTGGCGTTGCACCCCTCGAGGTCGCCCAGGAAGACGCACGGGTACCCGTCCTGGCGCAGCAGGATCAGGCTGTACGCCAGCGGCTTGAAGGCGGCCGGCACCGGGCTCTGCAGGCTCTGCCCCGCCTGCGTATCGTGGTTCTCGACCAGCGTCACGGCATCGATGGGACGCCGCTGCACAATGGTGCCGTCAAACACCTTGCGCAGATCGTACGACGAGCCCGCCGCGCCCGCCTCGGCAAAGTTGTAGTGCAGCGGCGCATCAAACAGCGAAAACTGCTCGTCGCCAAACTTGTCCAGGTACTCGATGCACGAGTCGACGCTGTCCTTCCAGAACTCGCCCACCGAAAAGGCAATCGGGCCCTCGGTCTCGTCGACGGCCTCCAGGCCGCGCTCCTTGCGCAGCTGCCGCGCCTCGTCGCGGACCGCGGCGACAAAGTCGTGGATAAACTCGCGGGAGATGTGCTGTCGGCGCGTGTGGGACGCGAGGCGATTGTAGCGGGGCAGCACCAGGGAGAAGGACAAGGAAGGGATCCATCAGTCACTATCCACACTGGATGCGGCGAAGGCCTGCGCTTGACTGGCCGGCCGCCTGGCCGCGACCGCACCTGCGACCGCGCCTGCGACTCACCTTGACCGCATCGAAGCGGAAGCCCGCGACGGGAAAGTTGCGCAGCATCCACCGGCCCCACTTGAGCATGTCGTCCTTGACGTCGCCGTGGGCGTGGTCAATGTCGGAGAACATGAGGTAGTCAAAGTTGCCGTTCTCGCGGTCCGTGTCCGAGGCCCAGTGCTTGTTGTCGCCCTCGATGCGGAAGATGGCCTTCTGCTCGCCCTTTTGGTCCCAGTCGACGCCGGTGAAGTGCTCAAAGCCCCACTGGAACGACGAGTGCTTGTCGCCGCGGCCGGGGAAGGTGAAGCGGGTCCAGCCGTCGATGTCGAAGGGCTCGTCGTCGATGATCTCGTTGCGGTTGTCCGAGTTGACGCGGCGCACCTTGAACGTCTGGAGCTCGTCGGCGCCCGCCTTGTGGTTGAGCACGGCGTCAATGTAGATGGCGATGCCGTTGTCGCGCAGCGCCTTCATGGCCGCCTCGAGCTGCTCGCGCGTGCCGTACTTTGTGCGGTGGGCGGGTGTGAGCCCGGCCTTTTCGTCGCGCGGATGGGCGAACTCGCCGAGGTCGTACAGGTCGTAGATGTCGTAGCCCGTCGACTCGGGCGACGACGACTTGGTCGGAGGCGGCAGCCAGACGGCCGTGATGCCCATGTCGGCGAAGCGCTTGGCGTTGCTGGCCAGCCAGTCCCAGTGCACGCCGCCGTCGGGCGTGTACCACTCGAAGGCCTGCATCATGGTGTAGTTGAACTCATGGGCGTCCGAGTGCTTGTTGGCCGAGGAAGCCATGGTGGGCGTGGAGGCGGCGGAAGCGGCGGGAGCGGCGGGGGCGAGGGCAGGCGCTGGCGGGAGGTAGGTTCAGGGGGCGTCTAGCAGGTGGCGAGCGAGCGGATGACGAGCGGCGAGGGATCAATGGCAGGGGAGGAGACGAGGAGACGTTAATGGTGGTCGGGCGTAGGAAGAGATGCCCCTGCCTGGCCGAGGAGAGGAAGCCTTCTTAAGTAGCAGGAGGGGGGATCGACCTCGCTACCACAGCCCGCAAGCTGCCGCTGTCCAGCCTGGCCCCAGGGTCAGGGCCAAGCCACGTTGCCAGCGCCCCCAAGGCAGGGCAGGGCAGGGCAGAACGAACTTCCGTCGAGACGGTCGCTGTCGGCCGCGGCAGAGGGATGCATGAGGATCAGGCATCGGAATGGGTCCGCGCGTTGCTTCGAATTCGACCTCCGTCGAGGGCGGTGTTGGACCAACACGCAGGCAGGCGCGTTCAGCAGGCTAGGCAAGCAAGAGGCGGCAGGTAGGTTCGAGCAAGGGTCGGGGTCGAGGCAGGCAGGGTGACATCGTCGTGCTGCTCCAGATTCGAGATTATCGGATTGCCCGCCGCCGATGGGCTAAATCGAGAGCTCGTCTGCACTGCATCTGCCTTCGCCTGTGCCTAGGAACGGCCGGGGACGTGGACGTGGGGGAACGTGCGTCGAGATGCATGGCGCTGGCGCGTCCCTAATCGCCTCTCGCTGCCCTGCCACCCACCCGCCTACCTGGCCAAGTTCCCAAAACCCCAGAGCGCGTGGATAGGGCCTAAAGCCGCCGCCTGTTTCTCGTCGTCCGCTCTCAGGACCGCGGAGCGCACCAGGCAGAGTGATGACGGCGGCTTGCCTTGGAAGGGCACAGAAGAGGCCGCTGAAGAAGACCAGGCAGAGGATGCGTACGTCGTCCAGCCCTGCCTGAGTTCCTGTTGCTCTCGCTCTGCCTGCACACACTTCCACGTGCCCGAAGCTAGAAGAGACCCCAGCTCGTACCGCCGCCTCCTTCATTCGACGTCACGCCCAGAGCTCTTGATCATCTCGGACCATTGGATCCCAAAAGAGGCAGATATGGAAGCGCAGCAGACAATCGCACACGAAGACGACGACGATGACATGATGCCGCTGAGCTTTTTTGCCGAGTCTAGAGGATGCTGCAGGGACGTGGCTGCTTCCGACGACACCCTTAGTTGTCAAACTGGAGGTCGACTCCCCACTGCGATGGCGCAACAGCAAGCACGAGACAAAGGAGCACGGCCGTCGATGGGCAAAGGGACAAAGTCAGCACGATGTCGGAACGAAAGCCCGGCTTGCCCTCAAGTGGGCTGCAGCTCCGGCTCCGCACAGCCACCAACGGCTACTCACGGCGGGCTGGATCAGACGGACGGCTTTGCCGGGCTGCTGGCTGAGCTCGTTGAGCTTGAGCATCTCGTCGTCCGAGAGCGTGATGAGCTTGGCGTTGGTGGCGATGCGGCTCGGCGTGACCGACTTGGGCAGGACGACGACGCCGCGCTGGGCGGCCCACGAGATGACGACCTGGGCCGGGTCGGCGCCGTGCTTGCTTGCAATCTCGGTGACCAGCGGGTCCTGCAGCACCGGTCCGCCCGACGAGCCCAGCGGCGAGTAGGCCTGCGGCACGATGCCCTTGCTCTGGCAGTACGAGACGAGCTTGTGCTGCGGCAGGAAGGGGTGCAGCTCGATCCTGTCGGCGAGGTCGGGGGAGAAAAGTCGGAGGTGGACGCGTGGCAAGCGAGCAGGAGTGAGTTGTGAATTCTGAAGCCGTCCTTGCCCTTGTCGACCTGGCCGGCAAGCTTCCGCTGCTACTCACTGGTTGGCGGCGGGGACAATCTTGGCCTTGGAGAGGATGCGCTCGAGGTAGGCGGTGCTGCAGTTGGAGACGCCGATAGCCTTGGCCTTGCCGGTGGCGTGCAGCTTCTCCATGAGCTCCCAGGTCTGCTCGACGGTCCACTCGGCGTCGATGGCGCGCGATCCGTCCGCGTTGAGCGGGATCTTTTCGTCGCCGCGGATGATGAGCGGGATGGGCCAGTGCTGCTCGAGAACATAGATCGAGGAAGGGATTGATCAGCTTCACAGGCATAGACTTGTAGTAGGAAAGCCAATTCCCACGCACCACGAGGAGCAGGTCGACGTAGTCCAGTCCGAGCTTCTTGAGCGAGTCGTCGAGGCCCTCTTCGGGTCGGCGGTGGTAGGTGCCCCTGCAAGGGAAATCGACCGGAGGAGGGTGTGGGCAGCCGAAGTGAGCAGGAGGCTACGGAGCAGAGGAGGCAGCAGTGCGATGGCTCGACGAGTGTCGGCGCACACTCACCAGATCTTTGTGGTGATGAAGAGCTCTTCGCGGGGCACGCCGGCGGCCTTGATGCCCTCGCCGACCTCGTGCTCGTTGCCGTACATCCAGGCGCAGTCAATGTGGCGGTATCCTGGAGGGCGCGGTGGTTGGAGATGGCGGGACGAGCCAGGTTACGGTCAGTCGGGGCAAGGCAATTTAGTCGTGAAAGCGAGCCATGCTGCACTGGCACTGGCACTGGCACTGGCACTGGCACTCACCGGCCTTGATGGCGCTCTCGACGGCCTTTGCGACCTCGCCAGGGGCCGACTGCCAGGTGCCGAGGCCGACGACGGGGATGGGTGCGCCCGTGTTGAGCTTGAAGGTCTTCTGACCGGGGGCGGCGGAAGGGTACTGCGACATGGTGGCTGGTGGTGGTGGCTGGTGGTGTTGTCGGAGGTGATGCTGCTGCTGCTGGCGGAGGTGGTGGTGGTGGTCTAGGCAGACGAGAGCTCGGCGGGGCTGACGAGGATAGGCTTTTGACGTCGCCCTGGCCATCGCCAGGTGGGTTTGCCGTTCCCCCACGCCATGGTGCCTCAGCAGGCCGAGCCAGGCAGGGGAGGGGGGGAGCTGGCTGGACGGCGTGCGGTGGTGAGTGAGGTCGCGAAGGTTTGTGGGGGGATGGGGGAAGAGGGAGGCGTGCAAGGTGGTCCGAGCGTGGCCCGCTCGCAATTTGCTCGCCGTGACAGGCCCGTGGGGGGGGCAGCCGTTGGACGTGGGGGGGACAAGCCAGGGCAAGCAAGCAGCGGCCTGCTGGCGGTTGTCGCCAAGAAAGGGCGCGCAAGCTGTCCGCGTAGCGTGCTCTTCGCACCGCCGGACCGCTCTGGCGGCCAGCTCGCCTCCACATGGCCTGGCTGGCTGTCCAACACCTCACCAACCAACCAACCAACCTGCCGTCCACCACCGCCGTCGCTCGTGTGGCCATCATCGTCGCCTTCCACCTTCTTCCTCCCCTTGCTTGCCTGCTTGCTGCCATTGTTACAGTGTAGCTGACCGGTGACGATGGCCACGCATCTGGAACGACGACCGCGCTCGCCACACGGCAACGGACGACTTCGACGGCGATCAGATGGATGGCGATGATCCGGCCTCAGCGGTGCGTGCTCGGGCGCTTCGGCCTTCATGGCCGCGATGAATTGGCCGAGGGATGTCATGCCCGCGAGGCCCAGGCTTCCGTCACGACGTCGTCCGCTCTTGTCAGGCCTACGTGCTACGGGCGATGTCGTTGGCACGGCCACGTCGGATCCGTCGCAGCGGCGTCACGCTATAACCGTCTGGCACGAGATGCTGTTCCTCCAGGCCTGGTCCAAAGAGCGTCGAGTCCCGGAGTGCACCGTGGAAATCGGCATCGGGCCGACTAGTCAAGAGCCGCTCGCTCCTTCTTCTCGCTCGAGAACAACACAACGTTCTCAGCCGCAAGCAGGAAACAAGGCCTTGCCCTTGAGTCGCCAGACGGACCACGACATCGGCGACGTTCTGTCGACACCGGCGACCCCACATCTCTCCTTTCTTCGGCATCGTCGCTCCTCGTTGCATCCTCGACCGACTACCCCACGCAACGCAACGGAGACCGAACCCCACCCCCCGCCGTCCCCGCGGTAGGTAAGTACGGCATCGTGGGGCTGCTACCGGTGGGTGCACATGGGTACGCCAACGCGAGTTTCCCGACGGTGCGGGGTGGGCAAGGGCAAGCAAGGTCGTCCAGCGGGGCGGTACCGACCAGTCGATGAGTATCAGATTGCCGAACGGCCTCGACCAGCTTTCGGAGCCGATGAGAGACAAGCATGACCGAGAGACGGAGCCAGTTCGGTCTCACCTCGGACCGGATGATCTTTCGTCGTGTCAAAACCCGAGGGACCTTTCTCGTTGGCCAGCATCTCCTCGTGCCACCTTCCCCACAACCTTGTGCGTGGCATCCACGCCGCACAGTGCGGAGAAGGCAGGGGCCGGCACCGTCAGGCTGGACGTGCCAACTCTCGTAGCCGTCCGCGACGGTCCGCGTCGCCTTGGCAAGAAGGTACGAGCCGCGGCCCATCTCGTCCTCCAACTTACGCCCGGTTTTTCTCCGATGCCGGCTTTCGCTGTCGCTCGCTCGACGGCACCCTACAGTAACTACGTGACGCTTGCCGTCACTTCCCGGCATCGTTCCACGTACAGCCCACAGGATGCAGTCGACGGCAGACCCGGCCGCGTCCTCCGGCATCGTATATCGCCACCTTGGCGCCATTCAGCCAATGGCGAAGAGGATGTCGCCGTCGCCAGGCACCGCAATCTGTGCGGGTGCGGGTGCGGGTGCGGGTGCGGCGACCCAGCCAGTGGAACGTCGTACAAAAGTCACCGATGTCTCTCTCTCCCACTTGGCCGCTGGGCCCGGCTGGCTCTCGGTTGGGCTCGGCAGGGGAGTTTTGCCGCTCGTCTTTAGGACGGGCGCCTGGCGTACATGGCTCAGTCCAAGATTGGCGCCCGCGTCGATACTTACTGCCAATATCTCCCACATCATGGGCGACGGCGTCGGCGTTCGCGTCGGTGACAGGGCAGCACTCACACCTACTGTAGGTAGAGGGGACGAGCGGAAGAAAGCCTCGAGACCTTGGTCCCATGACGCCGCCGAGGGTGGTGGAATACATACCGTACCGGTACCGTACCATTCTTCGCGGCGAGCAGGACAGAAGGCCGAACAGAGCCACCACCTGGCTCTCTCTCCCTCTCCTCTCTGCGGGGCTTTGCCGAAAAGGGGGGCGTACTTGCCGCCATTGTGCGGAAGGAGTTAGAGTGCGGGGTCGCGGCGCAGCGGCCTCTTCCTCACCATTGTTGCACACCACACCCTAAACGTACGGTAGCGAGTGCCTACGTACGGGAGAACGCTGTACTGCACACCGACCGGTATGGTGGCATGGCGGTGTGACGGTCCGCACAGCCTGCTTGTTTGCGGATGGACAGGGCGCGGGGTCGTAGGGAGGACCGGGGGACAGACCGGCCTGGCAATCTCGAGTCGACCGCTGACCTGCTCCATCCTCGCTGTTATTTCTGGCCAGAGTGAGTACACAGAGCAGTCAACTCGACTGGCCGAGTGGCTTCGGGAGCGACCAACGAGACTCCGGGGTCGAGGTCGCTGGCTGGCCGATGGCAATCTTGCGCTGAAGAAGGTGGAGAGCGTGGCCGACGGCGCACGCACGAGCTGCAGAACGCCACCGCGCCGTACGTCCCTCTGGTCCAGGCAAGGCGCCACGGAAGCCACACACTCGGTTCGGCGTGCGGGGAAGCGGACCCCCATGACTTCTTCTCCCCACTCTCTCGTTCTCAAGGAGCTTAGCTTGACACGGCACTGTGTCAACAAACACTCCGGGGCTAGGCCGAGCAGCCTAACTACAGCTACATGAGTGTGGTGACACGGGGGCAAAGAAACGTACGGCGCTCTCTCGTCCGACGCTCCTGGCCCGCCTCGCGCTTCTACAGTGTACGGTGCCCCGCCCTGCTCAGCCCTGGGAGCTGGGCGCTGCAGCGAGCTCGCCAACATGCTCGGGGCGACGTGTACCGTTACTCCGGTGCCCGCCCGCCCGTCCGTCCGCCTGCTCGGGTCGAGCATGCTCCGACGCAAGCCTCCGTTGCATTCACCCATCCATCCTTATCGCTCCGACCCGAACCGACCAGACCAGGCCGAAGCGGCTGCCCGCGACGACCGCTCGGACTTGCCAGGGCAGGCCTCCCCACGTCGTTGCGCACCCTCGGAATTACCCGAAGCCAAGACGAGGGGGGAAGGAGACGCGCGGAAAAGACGATGACGGGGCGGAAGCGGGAATCTGGAGCGGGTCACAAGGTGGGAGACCTGGCCTGAGCACATCCTGAGTCCAACGAGCCTTGTCTTGTCTCGAGTCGTCACCTCGTCACGTAACTACCCGCGGCTCGTACAGTACCCGGTCGCATAGTCTCAGTGTTAGTCCGTACGTGCTGCTGCTCCTGCTGCCGTCGTCGCCGAGTGCGGGGACGATGGAGCCGTTACGGAGCGAGCGGGGCGAGTGCGGGGGGAAGGCGCTCGAGTCCCGCAGCCCGCTCCTCAGAATGCCGCCGCGGTCCCCGCACAACATGGTCTGCCAGGCCTGCCGTGCATTCGAGATGCGATGGATGATGAGGCGGGCCAGTGGTGCTGCACGGGTCTTGCCGCACCCGCGCTAGCGACGTCCCGCGCCGAGGTCGAGGTCGTAGTACGGCTGCGTGGCTTATCCGCGTCTACTTCACGCGGGTCATCTGATGATGACGATCCGGGACCGGCGTTCCTGGGCGGTGCGGGGCGGTACGGAGCGGTCCGGCGCGCGCTCGAGTCGACCGAGTCGTTGGTTGATTGCGGGACGGAGTGGAATGCGGCGGGGATGATGCAAGCATTCCGCCATTTCCCACTTTCTCCCTCCTTGCCCGTGGCCATGCCGTTCTCGATACATTGGCGAGCTGGGACGGACAATGGCCATTCAGTGTACCATGCCATACACCTGTACGTATGTATGTATGTGGATGCCTGTCTTCGACGACGATGATGGTGGAGTCGGCCATCGAAGCTCGTGATCCATGGCGAGGGACGGCGATGCGATGCGACCTGGGCCACACAGGGAGCGCCGTTCGACGGTCCGGAGGGACGGATGGGCCCGAGGCTGAAAGATGCTTGCGGTGCGGATCCAGCCAGACCGGCGATTTCCGCTGCCGGATGTGGGAGGCGGCGTGCGTGCCTGCTCAGGCGAGGCGAGGCGTGGCGCCGTCGACAAACAAGCAAGCAAGCAAAGCCAAGCACAAGCTAGCTAAGCAGGCAAAGCGAAGCCAAGCAAGCAGAGCAAAGCAGATGCATGGGCGAGCGGCAACGGCGTCCATCTGTACGTCGCTCCAGCTGGGCAGCGCCGTACGCGCGTCGTACCTAATCCGCCAGCAGAGCCAAGCGCGACCCTTAGGGAGAGAGGACGGGCGGGCTGGCCAGCGAGCGAGCGAGCGAGATGAAGCCGCGGCAAGGGCTCGGTCAAACTTGGCACGTTGCGCCTCCCGCTTGGCTGACGGCGGGTGATTGTGATTGCGCGGCGGCGGCTGTCGGCCGTGCTCATCGCTGCCGCACGCCAAACCATTCCACAGATACCGTACGCCTGGCGACGACGGGGATCTTGAGACGGCCTCGGCCTGCGTGGCCAACTGTCTGGACCTTGAGGTCGAGAGCGAGCCAGAGGCAGAGCCAGCGACAAAGGGAAGAGGAACGCACCAAAAGGTGGGGTCAGGCCCAACGTGGCGGGGCCTAGGCAGGCAGGCGTGCCGGGGCGAGGCGGGCGGCCGACGGCCCCTCCGTGACGA